GTTTGTTGATCGATGTTCTGTAATAATAAGGACTCCGCCGGGAGACGAGCGAGTTTAAGCTCTAGTTGCGGATGAATTTTTAACGCGATACAAAACAAAAAAAAGAGAAGCGAAAGGGAGAGAGAGAGAGAGAGAATGAGAGAGAATGAGAGAGAAAGAGAGAGAGAGAGAGTGAACTATTTTTGTAGACCGCAGCCGGTTCTCTTTAAAGAGGAAATCGCGCTGAAGACGACACGCGGCTGGGCAAACGATGAAAACGTGTACACGGTACGCGGCTTTGCGTCGTTCGCACGAGAAGCGCACCGAATTTTTTCTTTTGTGCTCGATCGACGGGGATGTCCCCTTCTTACGCTGGTCGCGATTCGACTCGATCGTCGTTGGACTGCGGGTGATTATAGAAATTCCAATTTTTAATCTGCGAACGAGCACTGTCGCAATGATTTCGAACTTCTAGAACGGAAGGTCACGGTGGGTAATTCGATTACTCGAGTTATTAGGAGTTTAGGTCTTCTGGTTCTAGTAGCTTACGAAATTCTTGTTCGCAGAGGACTAAAATATAATTGGAAAACAGTACGATTATAATAGAACGTTGGTCTTCCTAAGAAATACTATAAAATTCGTTACACTTTTTAATTTACGTACTTTTCGTATTACATATTCAGTGGAATTTGGTATTATCAAATTCCCCATAGGTGCATAGAAATCCGCAGTTCAATGGTCATCTCGTCTCGAATGAAATTCGACGAGGTGACGGAAGCAGTCAGTAGAATTTTTTTAAATGTTTCATACCATTCGATGATATCCAGCGTCGGAGGATCATCCCCGATCGTCGAAATGACACGTTCTGTTGTAATCCCATGCATTTTCGGTGTGTACTTAACCCCCGGAATTATCGGTTCCCAGAATGAGGATGAATTTTAGCTGAATTTAACGCATTATTCGCCGGTGGTTATCAAACGCTTAATCGAAGGTCAATAATCCCGGGAACTCTGTAATCAAACTTTCAACGGCAATTACAATCGTGAGTCAGCGAATCCTGTTGAACAATAAAATCTAATTATCATTCGAAGACTATTGTTCGAAGACAGTGATCAGGCCATTTTCGACGTGATCGCGACGGCTATTAATGGCCGCCCGGCGGATAATGCGTTAATTAACAACGTGGCACGGTATACCGGCGAACTTTCTATACTTTATAGCTGCTAATTTACGACCGTCTTTCACGTGGTGTATATGTTGTTTTTTCTTTGGGATTCAGAAGAATGTGGAGCGTGTTACCAACGATGCCGTGGGTCTGTCGTCCACGACAGAGCGGGATAAATTCCACCGGCCGGTCGTTGGCGCGCGAAGACACCGGGACGAGAAGCAACGTCGCGTGTTCGGCTCGCGTGAGGAAGAAGAACCTTGAAGAGTCACTTAGTGCCTGCTTTTTACTAGCGTAAAACTCGGATACTTCTAACACTGCCCTTGTAAATACCATGAACACGCGTCCGGTCGGACCCGACCCGGAACGCGGACACAAACTTCGTCGACTCTTCATGGTGGCGCGTCCGACCGAGCATTGGAACGCTTCGACTGTGGAAACCTTAATTACATCTGTTCTCCACTTTCGTTAGAAGGATACTGTTGAGTCATATATAAACTCGTTACCAGGAGCCGCTTTGTTAATCGGATTTATTATTTAGGCGATAGTCGATTTGATCGCGGATCTTTATGGAAATTCAGATTGTTAAGGATGTAATTAGAAAGACTCCGATAGAAAAGGACTTTTTCAAGAGTGGATATTACAAAGCAGTACACTTCGGATATTTTCTATATTTCCGTTGCATCACGTGCAATTTTGAGTTTCCAAATGTTCTATAAATGCATGAAGATTCGTAGTCTACTTAGAATACGCGAATGGTAACAGAGATTTGGCAGGGATTCTAGACACCTTAACCCTTAATTACCATAGACGTTCGAGCTGACGTGACTTATGTGAAAAATCTCGCAAACTAATGTTCATTACGGCCGTTTATTTACCCGAGTAATTGAATATTCGACAATAATACAAAGAGTGCTTCTCACAAGAAGATAATAAGTCAAGAACAAAAGCAGGCAAGAATAAATGAAAATTTAGAAGAGTCTGACAGACATTTTATGGCACTTAAGGGTTCAGGTTTTCCGTTCTCCAGAACAGTTCGAATGTTCCAATGCGCGGTCCAGTTTACGAAGAAAAAGACAGGGTTGGGATGGGGTTGTATGGAAGAGTCGGCCGACGTAATTCTCGAAGATCACACACGCTGCATCGCGAACGTTGTTGACGTCAGGTTCCAGGGTTCCCCGTGTGCCCGGGGTGGCGTCGAGCCCGTTTGATCGATGCCGCCGCGACGAGTAACCCGTCGACCCTGAGATCCTGCGCCCTTGTATGTGTCTAGTCTCGGAAAAGGACCTCTGCATCATTCTGATTTTATATAATAACGATCCTTTTTTGTGCTGGCGCAAACGTGTACGTACTAACGAAAATAAAATCTTTATATGAGACCAGCGGCGTCTTTTCACTCGTCGGGACCGCTCGGCTACGTGTCCGGTCTGTAACCCTTAACTGCCGAGGGAAATGTTAAAGTAGCTTCGATCATTTCTATTCGCGTCGTAAACCTTTTACGCGATTCTAATGGGCAAGAGATCGAGTTTCATTCGAGTACCGTTCGTTCCGATATAAATAAAACAGAAGTTTTATCCTGTATTAAATAGAAATTACGAGTGTCGCTTAATCCCGAGGCTTCTCCGCGGCTGAGGGTTAATAAATTCCCGAGACCGTTCAATCGGGAAATCCGTCGACCTTGACGAAATGTATATTATTTCGTGCCGGTTGCATAGGAGAGGACTGGTTTTTTTCAGCGGGAACGCTCGGGCTACGTGTGCGCATCGATCGCCGAGCGACTCTGCCCGACACGACGGCCCTAAGGGAGGCATCGCGCTGATTGGCTGACGCGGGCAACGCAGTACGTGTTTCCACGATTTAGAATCGGACCGGTGTCCCCGAGCAACCGTGAAATACAATGAAAAAAGGAGATAAGTCTGGAACAACCACAGGTGCCGGATACGTTTACATTGAATAATTCAATTTTGTGACATTGTACAGGGTAACCGGGAGACTAGCTTCAGTCCTGGCGCAGAGGCGGAACACCCGAACCCGATCACCCCGTACGATTCATCGTTCTACCACCTATAGTTCCATAGAAGATTTCTTGGAATAACAAATTAATTAACTGTTAACATTGATTTTAACCATTAGACGATTATTTGCAGTATCCTCTAAGGTACATCAAGGAGAAAACAATCACTATAGAAGACTGATTATACTTCGAATAAAGTATCACAAACTACCCTTACGAATACCTTACGCAAATCTGTTCTACCCATATATATAATTCTATTGTACAAACAAAGTATATCGACAAAAATATATGTTTCTCCCTGACAGGATCCCCTGAAGTATATCAACGAACATGAGCAATTACCATACAACAACGATTGTACTCGGAATAAATTGGCCCGAACTACCCTTAAGAACATCGTTGCTCAACGTGATCCTCTTTCCAAGTATATTCAGCAGGTCGGCCAGGCTTAATCGCGGGATCAAAGGGCAAACAGCGACGAGGTTCGAGCTGAGAAGCTTTCAGCCCCGTTCGAATCGATTCGTAATCCCGACACTGCGAGTCACCAGCGCTCAATCATTCTAATTGCGCCCTACCCCGCGCGATCTCGTTCCCGCTGGCCGTCAATGTCGGATCGGTTTCTAAAGGGGGATCGATCGGAGAGGAGCAAACCCGTCCACGTCGGCGGACACGGTAAACAATTAACGGGCCGCCGCGAAAATTCTGTTCAATTACATGGCGGATCATCCGACCCGGAATAATAGAGCGGCGCGAGGTGACAGCTCGTTACGAGCCGCCGCGCCGCCACCTTTTTCCTTTTACCTTTGAAACTTTACGACCGAGTGGGATCGTGACTAATCCCACCCTAGGGGAGCGTGCGCCCCTACTACGCCGCCTAAGTCCACAGAGAAGGACACGTCGACCGCGGCGCCCCGTGACCCTTGTCCTTCTCTTCCTCCGGCGGATCGTCTTCGTCGCCTCCTCGTTTCATTTGCCCTCCGCAGGATCATCCCCCGCTGAAAATTCTACCGGGGACCTTCGGCGAACCTCGCGTCAGCTGACAAACAACCCTTGTTTGTCGACGTTCCGCTCGGCGAACGGGGTAGAGTTTAACCCTCTTACGAACAGACTTGCTGGCTCGAGACAATGTCGAAGAAGACGTTGGGAATATTTTCGGGGAATTCGAGCGGGGAAGGGAGATTAGAAGGTGAATGGAGGTCGCGGTTAGGTCGGAGGGTAAGTTTGTTGTGAATGATGTCGCTTCCGGCGGAGGTAATTTTGAAGTTCGAGTAGATATTTTTGAGTAAACGCGATCGAGAACAGTGCTTCATGGGAATTTGTTTTATAGTGACCAGCAGGCTTTTGTGAGCGATTCGAACGAAATCGTTAGGGGTTGAACGGTATTTTCCATAGATTCGATACGAGATTGTCGTGACTGACACAAGTGGGTCAATAAAGGGGATATCGGGTGCAATGTATTTTTTATTATAAATTTCCTATGGACATTCTCTTTACACTTGAAATGCGATCATCAAGAAAGTAGGGAATCTATAGATGCCGATATTCAACGTTCAACGGAAATAGACGCTGAGTGAATGATATTTCAAACACGTTCTCCCGAAACAATCTTGCGAACTGAATAATCCTTTCCTCAATTACATAACTAACCTCATCCCTCGGCATTCCCAGGGAAACCCCATGAGACCCAGGCATTCCCAGCGAATCACGGCCATTTCCAAGAGCAACTGAACATCTCCGAAAGAATCTCCTGCGACAGCGTTAAAAGACCGATTCCCAACGACGCACGAGCGCGCACGAATAAATGGGTTAAACAAAACCAGAACGGAAGCCCTTTGTCCGCGGCGGGTTCGAAAGATGGCGGGTCGAGGGTAGTGCCGGTGGCCCGGTCGCTCGTCGTGCACCCCTGGCCTCGCGGCGGGTCGTGGGGCAAGGGTGGCGAGTGCGCGGTCGAGAGACAGCGAGCATGAGTAGGACGTGGGTCGCCGTGCGTCGGTGCAGAGGGCCGAGAGAGCGTGTCTCCTGCGGAACACAGCTGGCACGGACCGTCAAGATGTAAGCTGTCGGGCGTAGAGACGTGTCCACGGTAGCCGTTGGCCCAGGCCGAGAGAGCGAGAACGAGAGAGAACGAGAGAGAGAGAGAGAGAGAAAGAGAGATCGAGAG